GACAGGGTGGGCAACATGAAGCCAACAGACCATGTGTAGCAGTGCTCAGTTGAGGATTGCTATTTTGTTATTTAAATGAATATCTGTAAACTCAGAAAAAACTGTGATAGCTAGAATCCTGCTGGCAATTTATGTATGCTAAGTTGTGGCAGCAAATTGGTGCTCATTAACAAGGTGCTGGTTGTGTTCTTGCATGTCATGCAACTAAGGAACACAACCATCTACTCATTAATAAGCAGCAATTTGCTGCCACAAGTTACATGGCTTCACTTAAGCATACGTGAATCACCAATAGGATTTTGGTCGATTTATAGACTCTCCAAGAGTGTTCCACCTCAGAGAACGGTAAGAGCGATATGTGATTCATATTTTTCACATAAAAAGCTCCATTCCTGAGACACGTCTTTTATTTAAGAGAGTATTAGACAATCCATACACATAATTCCTAATTTATATTCTATGATGACACAAGCCCAGAAGAGATACACTATTCATCCTACCCCCAAATATATAATCTGGTGGCAATATATTCTCCAGATAGGAATAATCAAGGATATGGGTCAAAACATAGGACGCTCATGGTCCCCAACGTCCATAGGAGGGGAACTGGATCCATGGTTGAATCAGAACTTTGCAGGAGCTATTCAAGCACTGAATTTGTTTTGTGGGCAGGTTCAGCACCTTGGATAGCAACCCTAAATATTAAAACCTGGAACTAGTACACTAGACCACTGGCATCAGATACGCACCACTCTCCTTTGTAGCCCCTGACAACAGAACAGACCTTTTCTGATCAATGAATACAAATTGTTCAAGATTTCACGCTGGCTTAACTATGAAATCTTGTGACTCGAGAGTTCTCACTGAATGGACAGCGTTGGTTAGCCAGGTGATAACTGAAAATGTTGCGTGTACAGGGAAGTTCTGTAAGTGCACTCTCTCCTTCATGAAAGTGCTAGCATTTGTGCACATCAGTTGGGACAGAAGCTTGGCAGAATACAGAAGAGGTTCAAAGTATGGCATCTCTGGGTAGGGTTCAGAAAGGACCCTGAAGAGAGTGGAGAGAGCTGGGAGCCGATGAAGCTCTGGACACAGCTGGATTATAACTACCATCACTCCCAACCACATGCTGGAGTCCAACAGCATTTGGAGACATAGATGTTCCACCCCTGAAATAGAAAATGTTAAGCCAGATAGAATGATGCTATGTGTGTGTGTGTGTGTCTGTGCACGCGCACATGTTTGTGTTAAGGTAAGAAAACACCATTAATCTTCAAGCAGTGACTGCCCTGAACTTTTATGTAACACTGCTATAAAAAGTAAACACTCAGGAGAATACACAAAGCTGGGGCCAAAAGTCTAGTTATAATGAGAAAAGAGAAAGAACGACTGTCTCCAGTTAATGAATTCTACGTGCATATTTGAAATAACTCCCAATTACCTATTATCTTTTGCATTTTAAAAATCAAATCAAACGAGTATTTGTGCTCAAGAGGCATAAATATGCTTCAAACCACTCCTAGTGTCTCCATCATCAACTGGTAAACAATATTGCCATTGTGTTTTCTGGTGCTCTTCACTAAAGTCAAGGCACCGACTGTTCACACATGTTAAAACCAACTCACCAGAGATGTAATGCAGCCCACTGGGCATTTGAGAAATGCTTCACTGCCTATGATTTCAAACACAGCAACCCTTGGTAGATGATCTAGAAAGCTTCCACACATGAATAAGACTATTCAGGATGCTTTATCTAGCTCAGTCTTGCCTGCAACATAGGGCGAGCAACTTTTGTTTATCCAGCTGTTGATGAGGAATGACTCATCACTCCTGATCATGGGCTAGGCTGATGCAGCCTGATGGGGATGGGAGCTTAACAACATCTGGAGGACCATAGGTTTTCCAGCATTCATCTTCAATGCTTCAAGGTTCAAGATATAGGGATCTAACCTGAGATGTTTTGAAGGGAAGGCATGTCTTCTCTCATTCAGGGACTACCCTTGAAGGTGGGCTATAACTGGTTTTATTGATCACAAGCTCCTCAAGTCTGGTTGAAGTCCTTGAGCAGATGATACACTGTTATTAATTATTTTGGGCATGAAAGCTCCTTTCCAACTCTTGATGTTTCTTAAAAACCTACCATCCTTTATAATTTAATTTAATTTGGGTCATCACATAAGTCTCATTATTTCTCTACTGAATTTCTAGCAGTGTATGCTTTTTTTCATTGTTGTTTTCAAAATTCTGATTGTGATCACAGATGAGAAAATAATATGAGTTTGGGGTGGGTGGAAATCCAGCAGATGCTGTAAAACGTGTGCATGCGCTACCCACAGGGCGATGTTCACTCCTCCAAAAGAATTTCACAGAAATTCTGCTTTAAACTCTTTGCTTCTGTTGCAAGAACAACTCAGAATGCCAAATGCCCATGGATGGCATTTTTCACTTGATAGAATGTTACTTTAAAACATTTAAGGAAACACTGAAGATGATCTCAGGATACTTTTTCCACACTTGTTTCAGATGTCCCCTACCCTGCTCAAGCAATCAAACATAACTCCAACATGGATATAGGATTTTTTTAAAAAAAACCACTCTTTCAGGTGAGTAGATGTAAAGTTTCATAAAACTGACATTGCTAGATGTTCAGAGTGGAATAGGGTCCTCTCTTCATTGCCATTTATAAGAGGCGGGACCTCTTTACCATTATGGGATTGCCCCCCACTTCATTCTTACAGAGATTTGTACGGAAAGATTTCACTTTGTCTTGGATTTCTGACAGAATGGCAATCTTCTGAGTCAGGACTGCTTCAAACTGTGAGGCATAAAACTCTATGTCATAGTCCACGTCTTCGGCCATTTTAAGGAAAGCGTTCAACCACTTGAGAGACTCCTGGTGCTCTTCCACCAGAGCTTTCTCATCCATTTCTTTCCTCTTCTTCTGACCTTTCTCTCTGGTGGCAAAAGTAAGAACTGGTGGGGAGCCCTGGTCCTCCTTCTGTACACAGAACACTTTGAACTCATCCGTCTCTGGCAAACTTTGGATCGCCCATGGCCTTGCCAAGTCATCGAACTGGAAGATAGATCTGGGCAAAACAGGATGGAGCTGTTTGAAGACACATGGATCCACGGAGAGTTCCTTCACTCTATTTGCATACCTCAAGGTGTTGAGAGTGTGCTCACATGATCTCATTCCTGGAGAAATGGTGGCTATCATGCAAGTACAAGAGTTCTCTCCTATGAAGGAGTCCCTTAGCACCTGGGTAAGCTTACAAGCTCTGAATGGTGTATGGCCTTTATTTCGCCCTAAGGCCCTGATGCATTCTTTAAGTGCTAAAAGACTCTTGTTGATCTCCGCTCCTTCCAGCCTGGTCTGTCTGTCTGCACTGGAGGTGTCTGCTCCACGTTCATTGCCAGCCAAGTCAATTAACGAAAACTTACCATGCAGCTTCTCTCTCCTCTTGAGGATGATCTGGAAAACAGCGTGGCTTCGTGAGGAGTGCAAGTTTGCGGACGTCTGGCCTGAGGTTCGGCATCGATTCCCTATTTCAATGAGCTTCATGACATCCTCCATGCAGAAGACCTCCTGCTCTAGCAGCCCTACCACCTGGACCTGCTGGTTGCTGTCCTCCAGCACCCTCAGGCGCTTCTTCCAGTTCAGCAGGTCATAGACTTTCCCCCAATAGATCTCAAAGAAAGCCCCAAAGACCTGGAGCTCCAACATTTTGTACATGGGATCCTGCAAGAAGGAGAAGACGTCGCAAGCCACCATGGCATAGATGCCTTTGGACGAATCCTGCTTCTTGCCCGAAAAGTCACCCCCCATGGTGTGGGTCTTGCCGCTGCCCGTCTGCCCGTAGGCAAAGCAGGTAGCCATGCCGCCCCGGAAGATGGTCTCCACCAGAGGCTGGGCCGTGCGCTTGTACACGCTCTCGTTGGTGGCCTGGTGGTCGAAAGCGTGATCGAAGCGGAAGGTCTGGTTCTCCAGGTAGCGGGTCAGGTCCAGCTTCTGCTTGGCTTCGTGGACCATCACGATGTCGGAGCAAGGGATGGTCACCACGTCGATGTCTCGGAGCATCTCCTCGCGCGGGTTGAGGGGCCGCTTGCGGACGCAGACCGAGATCCGTCGGGCGCTGGGCCGGCTGGGCTCCAGGGGAGAGTTCGGGGCCGGGAGGGCGCAACCCCCACGTTGCAAAGCGGCCCGGTATTGCTTCACCATGGCGATCACGTCGGCGTGGGGATGCGCGTCGCGGGCGTCGCGCCGGGCTCGCCTCTCCACCAGCAGCTGGTGGCGCTTCTGGCGCCGCTCGCGGAGCCGCTCCACCTCCAGGACGCAGGGCGATTTGCGCGCGGCGTTGGGGCTGCTTCTGCCCGCCGTGCTGGCGGACGGGGGCCTCTGGAAGTGGCGATCCGCGCTGTCGCCGCCGGGCTTCTCCTTCAGGATGGGGGTCACCACGTAGCGCAGCGCCGGGCTGGAGCGATCGCCTTGATCCGAGGGCGTGGGCGCGGAGAGCGGCTCGGGACTGAGTGGGGGCGCGGAGGCCGGGGCCAAGTGGGGATTGAGGGCGAAGGCGAGGCTCAGCTCCACTTTCTTGCCCTTGTTGGCGCCTTGCTCGATCCACTCCACCGTCACGCTGCTGCTCTCCTCGTGCAGCGCCGTGACCAGGGCCGGGTGGATCCGCCCGTCGCTCCGCTTGATCTCCAAATAGGTGCCCACCTGGATGGCCCCGAACTCGGTCGCCACGGCAGGCTCTTCCTTGGGCGGCATCCCCGCGGCCGGGGAAGGGCTGCCGATCTTCGGCAGCCGAGGGAAGCGGGAGAACCGGGTGGGCAGGCAGCCTGCCGCCCAAGGCCTGCAGCCGCACTCACCCAGCGCCTGGTGGTAAACGGCACCCGTGCGCATGGCCCCCCATCGGAGCCTCTTTCCCGCCTGCCGGCCAGGCTTGACAGCCGGCCTGACCGCGGCCTGCGTCATAAGGGCCGCCTCGGGGTAACCAGGGCTGCAGCAGCCAGGCGTAGGCCAGGCCCTGGCCTGACGGAGCCCCGCTGCTTTCGGGCAGCCAGGCCAGGCTTCTCTGGCAGAGAGCGACCGGCCCGGGGCAGGCAAGCGGGAGAGTCGCCCCCGCAGGCTTAGGAGCCGGGATAGAGCACCTCCTCATTCTAGACCTCGGTTCAAGCAGCCTACTCGAATTATATAATAATCATATTCGAGTAGGCTGTTTCTGTCGCTGTTTCTGTTCTCAAGCCCTGAGAGGACAAGAGGTGCAGATAGTCCCGAAAGCTGTGGGTGGGTGGTTTTTTTTTTTGTTCCTTCCAGTCCACAGACACAGGTCTGGCTGAGAGGTTCTCCCACGGCACAATAAGGGGAAGAAGACCCTTATTGGGTTTGAGGAATTCCACCTTCCGTGTTAGAAACCAGCGTGGGAGAATGGTCAGAGTACTGGTTTTGGGAAGATTCAGGTTCAGGTCCTCAGTGAGCTGCGGAAAGCATTGGGTGATCTTGGTGGGCCAAGCCGGTCTCTCTTAGCCAGAGCTACTTCGCAGGGTTATTGCAATGATAGTATAAGGGGCGAGGGGAGCCTGGATATACCTGCAGCAGTGGAGGTATGAAAGCATAAGGTAAATCAAAGTCCTTTCCAGGTATAGCTATGCTTAGGCTATCTTCAGTCTGGTAGATGGAACTATGAGAGATGTAGTTAACTTCTTTTCCAATGAAAAAGATGACCTCACAAGGGTTTAAAATCAACATTGGTTTCCAGTTAGGTACTTGGTACTAATGATGGTCAGCAGCAGTCTGCAGTCCATGGCAAGCGGCCCAATCCTGTGTGTGTTTTCTTGGAAGTTAAGTCCCTCTCAGTTTATTAGGGCTTACTCTGGTTTAGTGGGCATAGGATTGCAGCCTGTTAGTGTAATAGTGGGCATGACTACTCAGTGGTTTAGGTCTGGCTGAGAGGTTCTCCCACGGCACCTCCTTGACGGGATGGACTGGATATTTCATAGGATCCCTTTCAGCTCTGCAGTTCTAAGTTTATTATTCTGTTGCAATCTCAGCTCCTTACAAAAGTGCTATTAATTTACAGAGCAGTAGAATATTTGAGGCTCCAATATTTTGGCCATCTCATGAGAAGAGAAGACTCCCTGGAAAAGTCCCTAATGTTGGGAAAGTGTGAAGGAAAGAGGAGAAGGGGATGACAGAGTCTGAGATGGTTGGACAGTGTCATCAAAGCGACCAACATGAATTTGACACAACTCCGGGAGGCGGTGGAAGATAGGAGGGCCTGGCGTGCTCTGGTCCATGGGGTCACGAAGAGCTGGACATGACAAAATGACTCAACAACAAAGAATATTTAAAAACACTGAATGTACTCACTGAGATACTTTTACCTCCTTGACGGGATGGACTGGATATTTCATAGGATCCCTTTCAGCTCTGCAGTTCTAAGTTTATTATTCTGTTGCAATCTCAGCTCCTTACAAAAGTGCTGTTAATTTACAGTGCAGTAGAATATTTGAGGCTCCAATATTTTGGCCATCTCATGAGAAGAGAAGACTCCCTGGAAAAGTCCCTAATGTTGGGAAAGTGTGAAGGAAAGAGGAGAAGGGGATGACAGAGTCTGAGATGGTTGGACAGTGTCATCAAAGCGACCAACATGAATTTGACACAACTCCGGGAGGCGGTGGAAGATAGGAGGGCCTGGCGTGCTCTGGTCCATGGGGTCACGAAGAGCTGGACATGACAAAATGACTCAACAACAAAGAATATTTAAAAACACTGAATGTACTCACTGAGATACTTTTTTTTACATACCATTTAATATGTAAGAAAAAGAAAGACTTTTTTTAAAAAGCAATCTTACTGTATGATGAGTTTTGGTGTCATATTTAGCCAGAAAAAGAAAGACAGAAGGAAGTACACACTAAGGCTAAGGATCTTTTGACCCTTGAAAATAGTTTATTTGGGGATTCTGTTGAAGTAGAATATAAGCCATGATACCTGAGTCTATGTATTTCTAAATATATATACCTGAAAATAACATATATATCCCTAAAAATAAAATAAATAAAATGAAATAAAAATATGTCATTTTTTTTTTTAAAAAAGAAAAAATATTGGGGTGCCTGAAAGATGAATAGACATACTTTATGGATTACAACCTCATACCTCAGGTACTCTTTGATATAAATATATGGCTTGTGTTAAGAGATTGCTTCTTTTAGATTTTAAAAATTAAATCAGGGTTCATAGTTCTGTAAAAGTGATTGCATCACAGTTACTGTGAGACCATTAATGTACCAAAGATCACAGTAATTAAAATACAATTCCACAAAAATATGAAATTGTTAGTAGAAAACAGCTGGCAGCATTTAACTGATTCAGTTAACAAGTTGGTTAATTGCAGATTTAAGTGGGTGCATGTACATAACTTTCTTATAGTTAAGCAAAGATCCATTAATGAGTCAGAGACATTTATGATATGCTGATATTAAATTCTGCATTAATAATGAAACGATTTCAGAGATTGCTTTGGAAAAAAAAATGACCCTTAGAAACTGTTAAACTAATTATAATCAATAGGCTTGATTTAGTTAGTGCTTCAAGAGTTTTTATGTGCTCCCCCTTCTTTTCCTGTTAGTGCGACCCTGTGCCCTCAACAGATGCTTGCTACGAATATAGTCAAGGAGTGTCACCTTCTGATATACTTAACGTTGCTAGCTGTGCCTGCTGGATTTCTGCTTCATGTGTCAGTGTTAACACAGAAGCCCTCCCAGAAATACGGATTGCAGTTCTCCTTAGCCCAAAGCTTCCTGTCAAGGTACAGAAGGGACATATATATCTTTTCTTTCCTTGTTCTGGACTTTCTCACCTCCCTAGTTTTTGTTTCTTGGCAAAGTAGGCTTTCTGGGAGAAAAGCCCAGATGAAATGCATATTGCAATATTTGCTTCATGGGGATATCGGAAACATTCCCAGCTGATTGTGTCCACTAGATGAGAGAGAGGGAGGGACTGACAGGTATCTGTGCTGCAGACCTGCTTTTCGAGTTGTGTTTCCCTTTATATTAATCATGTGCCGTCAAGTCAGTTCTGACTTAATGGTGATTTTTTTTTTTTGCATAGTTTTCTGGGTACAGAGTGCTCAGAAGTGAGTTACCATGGTCTGTTCTTCTGGGAGCATCCTTGGACTGTGCAGCTTGCCAAAGGCTACACAGGCTGGTTCTTCTCCCAGGAGACACAGTGAGGGAATTGAACTCACAACCTTTAACTCTGAAAGGTCAGAATTTATTGGGCGAACAGGTTGACATCTCAAAAACAGATCAGAGAGACATGGGAGTGGTTCTGAAGTTACAGCTCTGTACGTGTTTATTGGGAAATCTCACTGAAATCAGGCAGGTTTATTGTGAATAAACAAAGCGATGATGATCAAAATATTAGTGGCAAAACTGATTTTCTTTTAAGATCTAGGGATTTACCTGGATTCTGTTAGCTGTTTCATATTTTTTTTAACCTGTTGGGTTTATTGTTTATTCCTTATAGACCATGTACATTATAAATGTTCTTTCTCTAGTTTGTCTCCTTTTTACAAACTGCCTAGCTTGTACAGTAGCTGGAATGCTACATGGTCATTTTGATGTAGGGATCTGAGTCCTTACTTGTTTTGTTCTTGCAAGTGAAAACAAAGCTTTCTTCCTGCTATGTGAGATTATGAGGGGTTTATATATATAAAAGAAAATATTGCATTATGCTTTATATATTTTGCAGAAAATACTGCATTATGTGAAGAAAATCTTTTATTTCATGCAAAGCATGATGTTTTTGAAGGAAAATACAAGATCCAATATTGCATTTGCTAAGAACCGTATATACACTGCAGTGGTTCCCAGCTTTGGGTCCCCAGATGTTCTTGGACTACAATTCTCAGAAATCCTGGCCAGCTGAGCTAGTGTTGAAGACTTCCGGTTGTTTTAGTCCAAAAACATTTAGTGATCCAAGGTTTAGAACTGCTGATATACAGAATAGTCTGTTCTATGTATGGCTCCTTGTTTGACACACACCGTGCGTTCTGGCTTCTTTAAATGCATGGCAGAGGTTGTCGGAGCAAATGTGGAATGCTCCCAGCATCGAGCTGTTACACTTCATGTCTGTGAAAAGGATCCCTTTGCCTTAACCAACCAACCAACCTTCCTTCCTTCTTTCCTTACTTTTTGCAAAACTGTTTCCGAAAAAGTCCTAGTCTTCCTGCTTGTGACATAGGAGCAAAAAATAAAACATCACTCAGTAGTTTGACAGTTTTTATTTTTTATTTTTTGACAGGGGGTTTCAGTGCATCAGGAGACCCTTTCTTTAAACAGAGGATGCAAACATTTATGAGGAGGACCTCTATAAGATCTTGAGAGACCTCAGGGCAGATTGTTTCATTGAGGGCTTCCTTCCCACTGCACTGTGTCATTATTACTGTCAATTTGGAAAAAAAAATAAGCACATATATAATCTTAAAAAAACAAACCAAACCGCAACCAGTTTTATTTGACATCAGAATGTTAAGGTTTGGCAACAAGAGTTAAAGAAAATATTTACACACAATGGCAGACCAAATTCAGACTGACTTAAAAAAATTATCTTCCTCTTTTTATATTTTTTCTTCCCAGCACACTAAGAGATGGGATAAGCCAAAGAAGTATCCCTTGGAAGATCTTGCTCTGTGGGCAAAACAGAAAACGACAAAAATTGTGACTGTACTATTGTAGAACGTTATTTTTTTTTAAGTCTTCTTCAGGGAATTCTCTTTCTCCTTTGCGATCTGCAAGTGGCAGTTAGATAAAGATGCACAATGATGGGAACTTTTGGACAGGGTTTATCCATGTCCATATTGTAAATTACCTTGAAATGATGATGTGCAGTCCTCTCAGATCTATCATGTCCTTCTGCAGTGGAGGCTCTCAAACATTCTGGAGGATTCTAGCCCTCCTCACTTCTGATTAACTATAAATTCCAGCTGCCGCTGTACTAACTTCATAATTTAAAACAGAAAACAAAGTCACTGAGTTTAAGTTAAAAAGAGACACAACAGATTTTTCTTGTCTACAGTTTTTAATTGTTCCTGAGATGGAATGACGAAAGGATTGTTCAGACAGAGTGCAGTCCCCAAGGAACAGTAGATATTTTAAAAGGTGCGGGTGAGAATCGGGATTAAAAGGGAAGTTTTCCTGTGAAAATCAGATATTATTGAGTCTGAATAATATCATGGCCATCGTGGCTGGTGGATCCTGAGCCATAATACAATACCATACTCTGATGTTGTATTATTTTGTAATTTTATGCTTTTGTTACTTGTTGTAAACTGCCCAGAGTGGCCTTGGCTGCCAGATGGGTGGTATATAAATCAATCAATCAATCAAACAAACAAAGAAATAGACAGACAAATAGGGTCTATCCCATTGCCCACACCAGATGAGAAATTCAGGTATTCTTCATCCCAAAACTGAACTTTTGTAAGCCGCAATGGGCCTTACTCTTGTGTAATTGTACTACAGGTGAGTGTCCATCCATCCTCACCTGTAGTTTAGGCTGCACCATATTTCCTGAGAGATGTGTCTTACTACATAGGTTCCTGTGCTGCCTTGGTGCAGTAACAGTGGGAAGAGCATCTGAGAGGAAAAAGGCACACATTCCCATCACCCCAGGACAGCAATATGGGGATGTGAAGATGGGTGGCAGTGGCAGGTGCTGGGCAACTGAAGACAATGGCCCACACCCTCTGCTCTTCCTTCTCGCTCTCCTTCATGTAAGTACCGGCCACCAACAGAGCAGACTGGTTCCTGTCAGAGGCAGAACCCTCCAGAAACATCCTCCCCTGCATCAAAAATAGAAGAAAATAAAATTCTTGCTTTTGAGAAGGGATCCTTGGAATCTGCACATAATGGTAGCTGTGGCCTCATAAATCATCCCTGCTAGCAGATGGGTAGGCAATGTGTGCATATATGTGAGAGCTGTGGGAGGCCAGTGCCATTGCCACTTGCTTCAACACATAAACACCCCTTGGTCCTGGGGTGTTGCAGCATCGGCACAGCTTTTTTCTGCTTCTTTTCACTGAAGGAAGCTTCAACAACAGGAGACAGATGGGTATTGTTCCAGTGCCTGTCTCTGCCTGTGAAGAGCCTGGCTGCTCCACCTAGACCTTGGCTTTAGCTCTTGCTCCCACCAGCACTGCCCTCCACCAGGTCTGTGCTCTCTCATGCGCCCTTTCCTAACTTAAGCTGTCCAGACTTTCATGCCACTCTGGAACTTCTTCACACATCCCTAAGGGGTGCAGCTCCTCCGTTGGGAAGCAGTGGGCTGCAATATCAAGCAAACAAACTGCTTTAGGGTGTGGCTATGTTGGAGAGGACTATATTTTCTGCGTCCACATTTGCTGCAATTTGATTCACAGCTTGTTTTACACTTGAAATCGCAGTCAGTGCCAACATAGGGTCTGCACACTGATTTGGGAGTCCACCATTCATGCTGGTTGTGGTGCGAGTCACATTCCAGGCCACAGGCCTCCTCCGCACATTGTCCTTCCTTGCTGCTCCCACCTCTGCTGATCCTTTAATGCAGGGGTGTCCAGCCTTTCACCTTCCCTGGGCCACATTAGAAGATGAAAATTTGGTTTGGGCCGCACATACATTTGGTTTGGGCCACATGGGGGGGCAGACCTAGCTGTCCTCCGCAGCCCAACTTCAAGCGCGCTTACCGGCAGCTGCGATTTCAGACAGCAGAAGCTGCCAGCTTTGACTCCGGTGGCTTTATGGGGCCGGGAGGGGGTCCACCTATTGACGGGGATGGCGCAATGCAGTCACACAGCCCCCCTGTCCTCTCCCCTCCCACTCCTTCCTTCCTTCCCTCTCTCTCCCTCTACTGTTGTGACATGCCCCGGCCACATTAAACTGATTTGGGAGTCCACCATTCATGCTGGTTGTGGTACGAGTCACATTCCAGGTCACAGGCCTCCCCCGCGCATTCTGTCCTTGCTTGCTGCTCCCACCTCTGCCGATCTTTAATGGTTGGCAGCGCAGAGGAATCCCCTGCCACAAAGCACAAGGGAAAGGAGTGGAAGGAAGTGCACCCTTGAGCCAAGGAAAATGATGGCACCACAGGGACACTGGTGCAGCTCAGTAAGGTTGGGGTAAAGCAGCTGAAATCCCAACTGAACTGTCTCAATGGTTGGCAGCCCAGAGCAATCCCCTGCCACAAAGCAAAAGAGAAAGGAATGGAAGGAAGTGCACCCGTGAGCCAAAGAAAATGATGGCACCACAGGGACACTGGCACAGCTCAGTAAGGTTGGGGTGAAGCAGCTGAAATCCCAACTGAACTGTCACAGAAATCCCCCAGATGGAGTAGAATTCTTATACATGCAGCCAGAAAAGAGCCAAAGGAGGGATTGATGGATGTGTTGGCTGGATGCCAGAATGCTGGGGGTTGTAAGTATTTCCTTGATAAAAGTGTGCTATTGTTCAGGAGGACCCAAGGGGGGGTGGTTCTGCACCAGCACGAAAGTGCCAGGCATTGTTTGCAGAGAAGTTGGGTACATCTTCCCTGGCTTAGCCCAATATCTCCTTTGGGGATCTCCCCACGCAAGATTCAGACCACTATACTACTGAAAAACCTTTCTATACAAAAATAACATGGAAAGGTACTTCACAGTCTCAGAATACAGAACCTTGAAAGTCTGGACAATAATTTTGCAAAATGCACCATAATTCACAACTCAGAATGATTCTATATGAGATTGCCACTTCCCACCACCCATCTGTTTCTTCTTTCCCTTATTTTCAAATAATGCATGCAGGAACTACTGATCGCTGGTGACATAAACTAATTTAAAACTAGTTCAAAATCCTTTAATAATTGTATGAAATGGGAAGAATCCTCCAGCTTAAATACTGTGACAATGTCATTTTTATCTGTCATAATCTTGTGTTGCAAATTGTTAGTGTACTCTCTTCTAAATGGCAGCCCTTTCAGAGGAGGCGAAATCGAAGTAGGTAAAGGGCCTTATTGAAATGGCGAAGCAATACTTTTCATACAAAATCACTAGTTAAGCACAAGTCTGTTTTGAGAATTCCGCTGTGTATTTTTATGTGTGTCTATCAAGCTTAGGAAGCATATTGTTGGATGGCTTTTGAGACATGGAAAGGTTATAACAGATCCTGTCTTAGGACTTCAGAATCATGGTCTCGTAGCACATTTAAGGCAAAAGGAGAAGCAGAACTGATGGAGCAAGAAGCACAGGGCCATGGGTAGGAGCAGGTTGGTCTTCTCCTTGCAATGAAGTTCTGCCTGAAAGAAAGCAGATGAAGCTTTCTAGTGGCAGAGGGCAGAGCTCAACCTGAGAAGAACAGGTAGTTCAGGACTACCTGTTCTTTCTTATAGGTACCTAGTTGGCACAGTGGCCAACTAGGTCCCTGTAAGAAGCCTGCCGGCAGGACACTAGTGACCATGACCACCCTCCTGCCTGTGTTTCTCAGCAGCCACCTCTGATTCTGGGGATAAGAAACCAACCAATCGTTTCTAGTGACCATTGATAACCTTGTATTTGGTGGATTTGCCTGATCCCCTTTAAAAGACATTCAAGTTGGACGTTGCCACTTGTTGAGAAAGCATTATCTAGCTCAATGTAGCTGCTCCTTATACGCTGAGTTGATTTGGTTATGAAAACCATACATTAGTATGTGCAATCATCACACTGGAATAGAATATTATTTTGTTTTGTTTCAGAAGATAAAATATATACAAGGAAGAAATGCTCTCAGGGCAATCCATATCACAAGGAGAGAGAGAAAGCCAAGAGAATTTGTGGGAGGGGCCTTCAGGAAACACATTTGGCCAAATCTTTTTTATGCCTCTATTTCCCATTTTCCAGGTTTTTGAGGGATAATGAGTCCACCTCGATGTGCATGGACAAGAAGTGAGTGAACTCTTTCTCTGTTGACCTAACTGGCATCAACTGGCATTTGTCTTTGCCTTTCCTAGCATCACCTCCATCAGCAGCCTTTCTACTGAGGCATTACATAACAGTATGAAAGTGTTCTTGCTTCAACATGTTTATTTTCTTTTTACCTCCCGCATCCTCCCACCCGAATTTTGCATGATATTTTGACTCCTACATTATCCAAAAACAATAAAGAACCTTGTGGCACCTGACAAATTTTATTGGCATAACATTTTATGGATTCCAACCCACCTCCAGAGTCCGTGACAGCTTATGCTAATGAAACGTGTTGGTCTATGAGGAGGCAGAAGACTTTTTATTGTCTCTGCCTCATTAGCCTATCATGACTGCTAACTTGGGAACTAGTCGTGTAGTTTTTTTTTGTTAATAACAGCCTTAAGAGATTTGGCAGACAGAGGGTATGCAATACATAAATGACCCTTCTGTCAAACATATATTGATAACTGGAGCAAAGCTAAGGCTTCTTCTACTTGTTATGTGAGTGTTATGTGCTGACCTACAGCAATCCTAATGGAGCTCTGAGATATTTGAAGAGTAGTTCTGTCCCCACATTTTTTTTTAGTCAAGTCGTGTCTGACTTCATGACCCCATGGACCGTCCCCACATTTTTTTTAGTCAAGTTGTGTCCGACTCTTCGTGACCCCATGGACCAGAGCACGCCAGGCCCTCCTGTCTTCCACTGCCTCCCAGAGCTGGGTCAAATTCATGTTGGTAGCTTCAGAGACACTGTC